ACTATCATACATTTTTCTGTAAACTTTTATTTGAAAGTGTGTAACTTCACGTTCCCTTAAGTCAAGGGATGAATATTCCATAACATGTGAAGAAAGCATATATTTATTTTCTCATATGTCGAACCTTTTTCAGTATTATACTCAAATATAAGACTTCATACTATATTTAAAGTTTATATATATATATCAATAAACCAGAGCCTGATCTTTAAAAAAATCACATCACAGGAAACGAAATTTGAAATTAACACTACATGATATTCAAATTTATATAATTTTAATTTCAGCTTCAACATTATTCATTTCCTAGATTAAATCGTAACATGGACTATTTAGATATGTTATGTCCTACACACTTCCTCCCTACAAAAAAGGGGCCCACCAGCGTCAAGCGGTTAAGTCGCTGAACACTGGTAGTTCGGTCTGAGGTTCGAATCCCGCGAACAGGCTGGCTGCATGGATGTTTTCATGGTTTTCCCCATGTGTAATGTGTATACAAGCCAGTTTCCTTAGAAAGTCCTCATGAAGGCATCCCTCTGCTTAGGCAGATAGCCCTCAAGCTATAAATTGCTATAAACCACATAAACCAAATCAACCCTGCAAAAAGTTAGGAACAGATTATCATTTTAACACAATAAACTTTTTCTTTGTGATCACTTCTGAAACACTACTTCTCCTCAATATACAAATTCTGGTACTGAACATCTTCTTTTTGAAATGACAAGATTTACACAAAAATTAAATCATGTAGAACTGCTGGTGGTCATCGTAGAGAGGGTTCACTGTATTTATTAAAGGTCAGAAATTTATTCAACTATTTCTAAAAATGCAAATTAATCAACAAAATCTGGTATTAAGTACTTTGTAAGCATAATTAATAACAACTTCCGAGTTTGATTTAGTAGTGTATGATGACAGTTTTTATTACATTAACGTGAATGTCATTTGCTTGACAGATAATGAAGAATTTCTTTTGAGGAAGCTGTTTTGCTTGGAGGGTTCGTTTGGTTTGGTTTGGTTGATTATGGAAAGCATGCAAGGTCTATGTGGGAGGGATGTCTTTGTGGAGGATTTTCTAACTAATCTTAACTAATTATTCCCCTTAATAACTTAAGTGGAAAAACTCTCATATCCATGTTACACATGTGGAAAACCAGGTAAGTGCTCATGCAACCAGCCTCTCCAACCTGAAATCAAACTCAGGATCAAACTATCAGCGTTCCAGTCACTTTACCACTCAGCCGCTGTTTGGGCTGTATGGGGAGGGCCATGAAGGTTAGGGTTATTTAATTACGGGAAAGCCTCGAAGGCTAACTGCCAAAGGGGAGGGATGCCTTCGTGGAGGACTTTCTAACGGAAACTGGCTCGTATACATGTTACACATGGGGAAAACCACGAAAACGCCCATGCTGCCAGCCCATCACGGGATTCAAACCTCGGACCGAACTACCAATTTTCAGCGACTTTACTGCTCGCGCTGTTGGGCTCAGAGGGCCATGAAGGAAATAATTACATGCACTGAAAACTGAATTTTAAAACTAAATGTATAAAGAAAGCAATGGAAATCACTTTATCAACAACTAGTTCTTATTAAAATTAAAATACTGCTTAAAATAAATTTATAAAGCTATTGAATGAAAATTTTCTGTTAACATATATCAGACATGTGTAAGGAGTAACAGATTAATTATTTTAATATTATTAAGTAATTTTCTTATAAAGGAATTAAAAAATAAAAACAAACAAAAGCTTCTTTAGAGAAATTATTCTACTATTAAAAATCATATACTACTGGAATTAACATCTCACTTTATCGAAAATTAAATAAATGCATTTTTAATTGATAAATCAAGTTGTGCAGAAATATTAAATATGAATACATTAATCTTAATTATTTAAAAAAACTGAATGTGAAGATGGGAAAAATTAAGAGAAAAAAAGCTTTGTAGACTATTTGCTAGGAAATCTGACATTCTGAAAAATGAATACACGCATACACACACACTCACTCATATTTATATGCATAAAACACACACATATTGATAGATATAATTCACATATGATTAATTATATATTCATAATATATGTATGTGAGCATGCGTGTGTATACACACTCACGCATATAGTGAGAAATTTTGTAATGTTTGAGACATAAATTTATATTCTTTCTGGAACAGTAAGGAAATAATACTTTAAAGAAAATTTTAAAAATAGTGTCACTAGAACGAATTTACGTTGCAAAGTAAAAATGTTTTTCATTCAAACAACGCACTTCGTAACGCCGAATAACAGAATGTAAACAAACGTCAGAAATGTGACATCACTCATGTGGGCGGAGTTAATGGTGACCCTTATCTGGATTGTCATTGGCCAAACTTAAGCTGTTGTTCTAGCAGTGTACATTTTGCTTATATGCAAACCGGACGAAGCGAAGGGGCATTTTCCTTTTATTTAGTTATTTATTCTCCGAATACCGGCAGCTGTTGATTCCGATTGCGTAATATCACGTGCGGAAGAATTAAGGCGCAAGTATTGCGCAATAGCGTTTGCGATATTTCACAGAGATAAAAGAGTTTTACTGTGCTTGCTATACAATGAAAATTTAGAAAATGTTCAGAAGTTCTAAGTTATTTAAATATTAATGAGATTGGAAAAATAAAATGTATTTATTTTAGGTGCCAAGCGAATGTAATAAATATGCTTTATTTTTATTTATTTTCTCTATTTTGAACAGAAATTTCGTCATTAAATCTTGTAATATGATTTTTAGTTCTGCATATTTTTTTCTCTTATTGTAAACTAGTTCTGTGAATTGAACTATTATTTAAAATTTAAAAAAAAATAATGTAATTGTTTTCCATGGTTGAGTTATGCTCATTCTCTCTTAATTAATACTGAATTTCTCATATTTTAAATTACAAGTCTAATTTTTCTTTTGAGATCATGCAGATGTGTATAATGTAATTGGACAGGTGCTTATATTTTTTCTTAAAATGTGCTAGAAAAGTGCTTATTTTTTTAACTAAAATGTAGCTATGAACCCTGTAACAAGTCATGTGAGAATAACATCAGGAAAATTAGCATATAGAAATAAATACTGGAATTATTCAAACACCTATATTTTAAAAAATAGTTCTACATATGATAAATATTTTTTGTCTGTTTAAACATTAGGTAAACATTGTAGTAGCAGTTAAATAAGAATAGCATACATTAAATAACTAAAAAATTCTAATCATCTTTTTAATATGATATTGTTTCTTTATAAGCTGCCAAAATAATTCTTACCCAGCAAGGCAATGAATGTTACAGGATAAAGTATGAATAAATATATCCAAAAATTTATGGAAATTTACAACATTATATGTCTATTAAATCTTCTAAAATAGAATAACAAAAAGTGTATTCATTTAAAAAATTGCACAATTTGCTCTCTTTTTCAAGAATTTAAGTGGTAATTTCTGAACCTTTCTGAAATTTTTATACTCTAAATTTGCATTAGATATATAGTATTCCCAAATTAAGTTTAATAAAGAAACATTATGTTTACATTAAAAAAAAATCAATCAATGTGTTAAAAAAATATTACTCCACTAACTTGCTTTGTAAACGCATGCTTGGTAAAATTATATTTTGGATCTTCATTAAAACTCAAACTTTGTTGTTTTTAGAAAAGTAGGAGGTTTATGTTAAATGTAATTAGAAACATGTAAATTTTTTTCACAGCGCATTAATCAGGAAGAAATATTTTAATAGTGGTTTGTCTGCAGTTGTTATGCCAAAGTTCATGTATGAGCATAATGATTGTATGATTGATTGAATGTACGTTATGATTCTGGAAATTATTTGACCGATAATATACTCCTAATTATAATTAATTAATCTCTCTTATATTTTACAGCTGATTCTTCAGCTTTCTATATATTGACTTCCATATCTTTTTCATGAACATTTGTAACCCAGACCTTTAATGCTTTCTCAATATTGGGATCTGTCTTGCTGTGTATCTGTTTTATATTTAGATTTTGATTTGCAAGTAATATCTTCATGATTCCTTAAAATATGGCATAGAAGAGTTGAGTTACATTTAACTTCAGAGCATTCTTGCAGCATTTCATTGATTCACTTTTGTGAATTGGTCATAGTCGTCTAACAAGTCGAGTTATCCCTTAAATTATTAGTCCTCTTATTAGATTTACTTAAATTTTACTCCCTTTTAAAATAGATTTAAAAAGTGAGCACTTTCTAGATCATAATATAAAGATGATAAAAATGTAGAGCTCAAAACACTGCAAAGAAAGGTTTTGGCTCAAAGAAGCAAGTTCTTTTAAAAATCAATTTTGTTAAATTGGATAGTCTAGTCGTTTTCCCTAAAACTTGGAAAGTGGTTTCATTTTTACATTGTTGACTTAAATCGAAATAATATTTGATGGATTAATCTTTTCCATTGCAACATTACTGTGTCATTTTACAATTTCTATTCTCTTTTTTGACCTTATTTGGCAATTTTATCTTTTATTTATAGAATTTACTCAATTTTATTCAGTTTAAAAAGTTCATTCTTTCATATTTTTATCATAATAATTGACTTGTTGATAATAGTAAGTGATGTGTTTTTCATATTTTCATATACTAACAGGATGGAATTTTGGCATATTAATAACAATATCTCAATGATAACATTAATCATGATTGCATTAAGCAGCACCTACTGTAATAATTTTATATCATGCTATATTTGTGGGCCTGTTAAATTATATTCTTTTACCTAATTATGAAACTTCTGTTTAAAAAATAATCTGTATATTTTTCCGCTTACTAGTCCTTTAGTAGAGGTTTGTAAAGTAAGGTAATTGTAAAGATTGAAGACAGAAACAAGAATTTATTGTGTATACATTGAAAATCTGAAACTAAAATTTCATCTTATAAGAATAATTTTATTTAACATTTCATTCATTCATTTCATATTAATGAAATTTATGTAAATGTCCATTGAGCAGGCCATACAGAAGTTGCCAGATATGTGATGTCAAAAATAAGAAGATAGATGATGTGCCCTAATGTACTTGAGTCTCATTTCATGTTATCAAAAGCATTAAAAAATAAATAAATGAGCTATAATAAATTTTTAGTTCTTATCTCAATTTTGCCTTTATTTTGCAAAATTTTCTTTTAAATTTGTCTATCATGGATATTTGTTAAGCAGCATAATTTTGAAAGTATTCGTTATATATTTATACAAAAGTATTTCAAAAATGTATCACTAACTAAACATTGTTTAAACACAGGTGTTTAATTCTTTTAAAAATGAATCAAGTAAGGTAGGTGTTCAGCTTGAAACAATTTTGATTATGTAAATTTAAACTTTGAGTCCCGTGATCAGAAGATAGGTAGCTCTCAATTTTTTAAATCATCTGTATGTGGGATAATTGTAACTCAAGTTTGTACCAGGTGAAAAAACTGCATTTTAGATAAAGTGTTAGGCAGTTTTCCCCCCATTTCAGGGTTTCTGTTGCTACAACTATTGCAAAATTTGACTGTATATTGAAATTATATTAAAGAAATAACATTAAAATAAAACATTTTTATTTTTCACTGTCATATTATAAAGTTTCATTTTGGCAACTTATTATACAATATTTTGAATCTAAAAAATAAACAAGGTATAATGCTATAAAGCACAATTTACGAAGCAGCTCTAAGCAAAAGCAAAATTAGCTATGTAATAATAAAATTTTTCTTTTTAATTTTTTAATAGTAAGAGTTTTTCTCATGTAATTGTCTCAGAATATTCAAAATTCTCAGAATATGCATCAATTTTCTCAATAAAATTATTTTACACTTTTCCCTTTCTTTCCTAAAATATTTCTAGCTTTTTGCTGTTATAGAATTGGTTGCGATAATTTTTCTTTAGGATTTTAGACATTGCAGCTTGCAAAGTTTAGAAGAATTTGAAGGCAAGATTTATAGACCTACGATTCTAGAAGATTCGAGAAATATGTGACAAAATGAAAAATGTCTCCATGGTATCAACACGTAATGGATGTATTTTACAGAAAGTTTGCTATGAATTTCTTACTTTTTGGAGAATGTCTGGAAGAACAATGAAAACATATTTGAATGTTTTACTTCTGATACTAGAATCTTTTTCTTAACATGTTTATCTTCCCTTTATTTTCTCTACTTGTCACTAGATGCAAGCATGGAATATATCAAAAATGCTTCTAATCTTATCACATGGGTTGGCATTATATAAAGGGATTTTTTTATTAATAAAGAAATTGGAAACTTGCAATTTAAAAGATTCATCTAATATGTCTTAATGCACCATACACAGAGCTGGCATTATTTTCCCACCTGATGCAAGCTCCGTGGATAATAAATTCTGCTGCCTAGTGCCTTTCTAAACTCTGCTTCCAATGCCTGCTCTAAATTCTAAAAGCTTCGCTATTTCTAGATTTTTGTTGTTCGGTGTGTCACTAAATTCTAAAAATTCTGCCACATCAGCTCTATAACCTGCCTTTACCATATATATTTCATATTTCTTCTGAATGTTCATATTACTAAAAAAATAAAATTAGCCGCTTTTTCTATACATTCTAAATGCATTCAGTGTTTTTTACATTAACAGAAATCCTTAATTAAATCCAAAAATTCTAAAATGAAAAGTTTGGTTTATTTATTTTATTATGGCAAAGCACACTAGGGCTATCTGCCTAAGGGGAGGGATGCCTTCGTGGGGGACTTTCTAAGGTAAACTGGCTCGTATATACGTTACACATGGGGAAAGCAACAAAAACGCCCGTGCAGCCAACCTGTTCGCAGGATTCGAACCTCGGACCGAACTACCAGTGTTCAGCGACTTTGCCGCTCGGCCGCTGGTGGGCCCCTAAAATGAAAAGGAAACGTGTTGAAGAAAGAAACTGAATACATGAAGAAAATTAATCTTCAAAGATATGTGCAGTTATTATTATGTAAATTACCCAATAGTTTATGATTTCAGCCTTTACTATTAATTTCCCATTTCTATTTCCTCATTGATAGTTACTAAGCCGGATTAAATTAAAATAAATTGTAAATCTTTGATCTCTAGTCCATATTTTTAGTCTGAATTTGACTGTTCTTGTTTAATTACGTCATTGGAAGCTGTAATTGATTTTGTTAGCATCAGAGCATGCCTTTATGTTCTAAGTTCTTTTTACATAAGAAGCTTATTTAAACCTTTCTCTGATATTGTAGTCACTTTCAGACATAGCGATAATATACTTTACATGTGTCGGGGATTTTGTGTACTTAATTTCCACACATGTGTCGGGGCGTCACGTGTGTGGTACATATTCAGACAAATCTCTAATTGTTAGAAAAGATGCTTAAAGAGAAGGAAATCAATGTAAACTAGACAAAATGTTTGGGAAGGCTTCAAATTAAAATGACTGATAAATATTGAGTGTTGTTTTTACAAAAGATAAATGTTTTGTAGCTTTTAATGTGTAATTATCCTAATATCGTTTAAGAATCAATGTCATAAATTACATGTATTTTAAACTCTAAAATTTTATTATATTTTGATTTTAATAATTTTTTAACAAATATTGTTAAAAAAATAAAATTTAATAGTGGCCATGTAAATCCGTAATGCCTAAGGTTATCAAACTACCTAATTTAATTATTTATAACTAACTGCTTACCCTTAAAAATTACTTTATATATTAAAGTGAGTTATTGCTTTTCATTAATACTCACTGTGGTCACAAGATAAAACACAAAAATGTAAAAATTCAAGTAAAACTTATTCTTTGCATCTAGTGAGACTTAAAATAATACAAAACAACTTATCACCTCTACTGTATTGGAACCTTAAAGTATATTAACTGGTTTACAACCCTGGAACTCTACACGAAGCTACGACACTAACTGCATCAAACAGAGCCTAACTAACTTTTAACACTTGTCACCAAACATGCCTACATCAGGCCTTTCAGATTTGTTCTAATCAGTAGGTCTCTCTCTGTAGCAGCAGCAGGAACAAAATTCAGTCTTTTGCTATGAATCATGCTGATTATAATCTTACTTCTCATTTTAACCTATGACGTAAAATCTCCTGTTATTTACTAAAAACTTCTTGACGTTACTTCTTGATGTAAAATCTCCTGTTATTTACTAAAACTGTAAACTGACCAAGTAGTATGTGACAAAATTAGACATACATACACACACACGCACAAAAAAAAAAAGAAAAAAAAAAAAAAAAAAACATTAATATAAAGCTTGTAGAGTGATTAGGTTAACTGGAAATGTCGGAGAGATGAAAAATGAGCAACCGCCTTCACCGGGAATCGAACCACGGACCTCTGGAAAAGCGGCCAGCGAGCAGAACCACTACACCACGAAGGCACAATAGGAAAGTGGGAGAAATACCTTATATATTTCTCTTTTTAAAGGGCGACTGGGGTTTTTAGGGGACCTAATTGCCAAATCCTGGGTGTGGAGAATCCTCATCCAACACCCTTTTAGTTCAGGCGCCACTGTAGAGACATTAGGTATTTTTTGGAAGCAGGCAAGATGAAAAATTAGCAACCACGTTCCCCGGGAATTGAACCACGGACCTCTGGAATACCGGCCCAGCGTGCAGAACCATTCCACCACGAAGGCACGCTAGAAAGACGGGAGAAATAATTTATAAGCTAACTATTTTAGAAGTCAAACAACAAAAATCAGCGTTATATTTTCAAATCTTCACAGAACTAGTTTCGATGCATTGAAACTAATTCGGCGTTAATTATATAAAGCTAACTGTTAGTGAAACGTAAATGTCACTTATCTTCTTTCAAATATGTCGTAAGTGTAAAATATTTAATGCTACTTGATAAATTGCATGAAGTTTATTTCATTCTCAAACGCATTAATAATTATGTTAATTCATGTTTAGTAATAATGCATACTACTTAGGGATCTATTTTATTTTTAGGAAGGTATTACAAAAGTGAAATTCAGGCATAGATACTATTTTTAATTGAATATATTTTTCCCATTCGCTCATAGGTCCTTAATTTTTTCATTAATGGTCCTTAAAAGTACTTAATTTCCGTGTGCAGAAATGTGTACGAACCCTGTTGTCGCCAAGGGCCAGTTTTTTTAAAAAAGACACAAACCAAACGGAGGCTTCTGAAATACTTTATGCGCTTCTTCTAACGTCTGTATTAAATGATATGATGTCATCGTCCTGGTTAGTATAATGGTTATCAATACTGGCCGCCGTAATGACTTTGTAAATGCATCATGCAGAATTGCCAACTCTCCCGATTTTCAACCGCTCTCCCGCCAACCCGATTTACAATATATTTCTCCCTACTTTTTCTTATTCTTAATATTTCTCACGATTTTTATGGAACTTGGCTTAATACTTCATTATATGAAAAGAAAAAGAAAAAAAAAAAAAAAAAAAAAAAAAAAAAGTGATTTTGGACGTCTGAAAGCAACTGAATTTTCTCTAGATTATATCTAAAACAAAAGCTTGCGAATCAGATGAGAATTTCTGCTTTATGAGGGAGAGCATACGTATCCAAAAACGTCGTTCTCCAATGGGCATCGAGCTCCACTGGGTGTCATCTGGCATATATTAGCCAATGAGCACAAAGCAAACTCAAGGCTGCTATTTGGATGTTCTTTCGTTATTTCGTTCATCTTGTCCTGAGTTGTGTGAGTACACGTGCCTTCGGGAAATAGTGTTATAAATCGTCATCTTTTGTTATGTCTGCGAGAAAAGTGAAATACTCGTGTATGTTTCAAAAATCCTACACAGTTGACTTTCCTTCCATTATTTCCTCAAGGAAATGTAATAAATTTGCTATTTTTCGATTTCGCATGATGAAAGCGCGGATGTTCTGAAATATGTGCGTACACAAAAACACAAGGACAACGTGAGGTGTTTTGAAAAAAACGAAAAATTAAATTTTTCTTCGAAAACAAAGGACCAAAAAGTGATTGATGCAGAATGACTATTTTCTGCCTTTTTACTAGAGCACAACCTGCCACTGAATGCATCGGATCACGCTGCAGCTTCATTTAGAAAAATGTTTCCCAATAGGGAAATCGCTAAGAAATACTCAAGTGCAATGACCAAAACAGGTGCAATTGTTAAATAAATGGGTTTG